ATCGTATCCTCTCTTGTGAACACCGAGGAAAAGAAGCTGTTCAATGCCTCAGCTTTATCCTGGTCAGAATCTGCGTAACTACCATCATCAAGCCTCAGGTGTAATACTTCTGCTCGCATTTTTAATCTTGACTTTGCAAAGCGGTAAAATGCCTTTGGGTTTGACTTGACCTTGCTTGCAACCATCCTCTGGAACTCCTTTTCAGCCCTTCTACACTCTGCCTTTGCTTGGTGTCTGGCTCTTGCATACCTACACCCTCCTGGACTGCTCATCATTTGACTTAACCCACATCTTGAATTTCTGGGTTTTCTTCTTAACTTTGTCGACCGCCGCATGGTTCATGTGTAGGGATCCCTTCCTATTCCTAGAGGCACTGGGTTTGGTCTCGGGTATATATTTATTGATCAAATGGGTCACTTTACTAGTTGTGATATTCAACATAGTGTCTGCATTCTTGTGCCTTAGTGAGTCAGGCCAGTGGATACCCCTCATTTCTTCCCTCTTCCCGTCGTAACTGCCCTTGTAATAATTCCACCTTGACCTGGCTTTATCATGAGCTAGGTAACAGTTAAATCTGAATGACAACACAACATGGTAACTGGTGCCAACTGGGGCTAGATGTTTCAGTTTGGTCACCATACCCTCCTTGTTTGCTATGATGAGGTCTAGGGCTTGGGTGTTTGCTCCTCTCTGTAATGTGTCGGGTCTTTAACATGTTGGAGCAGAAAATTATCTCTCAGAGTTTCTACAAAAAGAGTAGCAGAGTTATTCAAGTCATTTGGGATGAACTCGTTTCTCCAGTCGATGTCGCCATAGTTAAAGTCCCCCATGATAAGGAGGTGGCGAGGGTTGAGCATTGCTGCATTGTCTATTAAGGCTCTTAAGTTCCTTTGATTTAGTGGGCCACAGTTTGGGGATCTGTAGATACACCCGACAATAAGTAAGTCCCCTCCCTTTAATTTAATTTTACACCACTTGGACTCTTCAAAAACATTCTCCCTGTACCCTTGCCTGGCTGGCTCTAAGGTCTTGCCTAGAATAGATAACCACACCCCTGTTGCAAGTTTCTTGAGAAAGGTTCGTAAATGAGTCATAGACATCAATACTGAACTCACATTCCTCTGGGTCGATTCTCCTGTTCTTGTACAACATTTCTACAACTCGTACAATATCGGGTTGGCGTACCTTCAGTTGTGTTTCAAACTCCTCTCTCTTATCAAGGAACGTGTTAGTATTAGTGTACATGACACTCAAGCCAGAATTTGTTCTCGGTAATGTCTCTGGTCTTAGTAGTAACTCCGGCCCCCCTCCATTCTCAGAAGCTGCAGCATTTGCTAAGTGCACTGTATTTTGCAGGGTGTGGTTAGAAATGTCTTTGTTTACATGGCTCTCGCCTCCTCCTGTTTGGTAGGCTGAGCTGCTGCCCCCTGGCTCTGTGTCGGCACACTTGCTTCCACTACCCTCCCCCTGAATATAACCCATGTACACCCATCCCTGTTCCTCCTTGACTCCTCCCTCTTCTGCTTCAAGCCCTGCAGGAGCTTCTTGTGCTGTTCCCTCTGCATTACCGTGCAATCTGGGTGAATGGAGACATTCTGAAATGCCTTGCTCCTTGCTAAGTTTTTTGCCTGCCGAATAACCTCCAATTTCTTCTCCTCACTCTCTAGTGTGATCCTGAGGGGGCAAGGCGTGTCCCCCTGCTTTTGTCCCCGCCTCCTCACATCCTGAGGGGTTGATGGCATTTTCAGATTTTCTGTACAAATATTCTTAAACTGCCCGAGGATCCTGTAGAATGGAAACGGCAGTTTTTAGGTAAAACTGGACACGATCCTGTAAGGGGGAAAGACCAAGTTCGGTATATAGAGAAGTAGAGCGTGTCCACTGAGGAGCTCGTATCATCCTTGGGGCTCCTCAGTGGACACGCTCTACTTCTCTATATACCGAACTTGGTCTTTCCCTCTTACAGGATTGAGTCCAGGAGTTTTACCTAAAAACTGGCGTTTCCATTCTACGGGATCCTCGGGGCAACTATGTCCAAGCCAACTTGACTCCTGCTGTCCGAGGCCGACCTCCATCTAGAAGACAGTGGCGAGGGTCACTCATCTGAGCCCTTCAGGAACATGACCTCCTGCCTGATATAGTTGTCACCCCTGCTGTTGGTTCGTCTCCTTCTCCCTGGCTGGATTTTCAACCTGAAGTGATTGCCCTCGGTGGACCGCTTTCGAAATTCCAGGTGAACCCTGTTATTCTCTGCAAATGCCACCTCTCCAGGATCGCCCACTGATCCCCAGGTAGGGTTGTCCTCTACACTGATGGTCTGTTGATCCCACTACAGGTAGGGCCAGGGCTGGTGTCTACATCTCCCTTCCTGATGCCCCTGAGCCTATCAAACTGTCTCTCAGAGTTTCTGACGGGGCATCCTCCACTCAGGCTGAACTAATAGCCCTCCTTGCTGCCCTTCTCACTGAGGAAGAAGCAGATGGTTTCTGCCCCTTGCTTGCCTGCTGCGATTCCAGGTCTGCTCTAGACGGGATCGCATTTGGATCGGGAAAATAAGGACCTCGTCCAACGAATACGAGGGTTAACATCCACACTTCAGGACGCAGGCCGTCCTGTGACATTCCTATGGATACCCAGTCATGTCGGTATCTTGGAGAATGAGGCAGCAGATGGCCTTGCCAAGACTGGCTGCAACAAGGCCACACCTGACTATGTTGTTCCTCAAACACTTTTACAGCTTAGAACCCAAATTCGCCGCAAACAGAGAGAAGCTCGGGAAGCAGCCATCCCCCTGGACTCCCCGCCCACCTGGTACGATGTCCTCCGGAAACTTCCTGACCTCTCGTACGTCTGTGGGAAAGGGTCGCGGAAAGGGGACGTGATTGCTGCCCGTATCATCATTGGGTATGACTTTGCTTGGGAGATTGGTATCCCCGCATCCCCTGAGCAACGCTCTTGTGCATTATGCAGAAGACCCGACAGCCGCACCCTTATCCACTACCTCTTAAGATGTCCCCACACACAACGCTTCTGTGACGCCTGCTGGACCACCACTCCACAACCCCTTGACGGAGACACGATGATCCTCCCCATACTGGCCAGATATTTTGTAAATAACATTGATTATGTGTTAAAGGAATATCCTTCCTTCCTTAGGCTTTAGTAAGCCCCTTTATAATATTTATACTGTATATACTTGTCACACTTGCCAGATGCTTCTCGTGTCATTGTACAGGGGTACCTAGACAGCACTAGGATCCCGCTTCCTCTATCAAGGAATAAACAATTGAAATTGAAATTGAACTGCATCTTATCATGTGTTATCTTACTCTCAGTTCCCTCGGCCTGGCTCTCAGGGATTCCAAAAACCATTACATTGTTCCTGCGCTGGAAATGTTCCCGTTGTTCCTCCTCTCCCCTAACAGTAGGTCTGCTAATTGCCATTTCTTCGACACACTTCTTCAGAGTCCCTAGCTGTTGTAGAACCTGTTCTGATCCTGCATTATTCTCCACCCTTTTAAGGCCTGAGCATAACTCCCTTTGCTACCACCTCTATTCTATTGGCTACTTCCTCAGTCTTAGCAAGGATCTCTTTCCCAACAGTATAAGGGATATTTACCTTCATTGAGGACGATGGTGGATGATTATAAGGATGATGTGGAGGGAGAGGTGGTTGTTATAAGAAAGAGGCAGACATAGGCCCACTCTCTTTTGCAATTATCCATGTGCTTCCAGCAACACTAGCCCTCTATCGTGGCCTCACTTTCCTTAATTGTACGAATCGAGGATTCATTTACCCCCCATGGGGAGTACCTCTTCGCTTTCTTCTCACCTTTATCACTCACACTTTATGCACGCTTAGGGGCCATAATTACATGTAGTCCCCGACTTTCGACTGCTTGGACTTACGACCGCCGCAGTTGTGACCATTTTTTTTTTTTTTTTTTTTCTTCAAAATGACGCACGCATTTTCTATACCGAAACGTTTCCAGTTAATGTAGTCTCCATGTATAATTAGAAAATTATGGGGGCCCCATGTCCATTCAGCTGACTACAGTCAAGGTAAGTGCTCAGTCACACTGTATCCATTCCTCATTATTTGTTACTTTTACTGTACTGTATGTCATTGTAGATTTTTTATTAAAAAAAAAATTGAATTTTTTTTTTTTTTTTTTCTATGTCGGACTTACAACCATTCGGACTTACGACCTGGATTTGGGTCCCTAACCCTGTCGTAAGTCGGGGAGCACCTGTAATGGCAAAATCAATGTTTTTCATCTAGAAAATGCGTAAAAAATATCCAGTGTATGGAGCAATAAAATTTGTCTGCATGGTAAGAGATTTCAACACTGAGAGAGTGTGGTGGGAGGCTGGACGTCGCACAGATTAATACATTGGAACATGGAGGGAAATGATGGCGTGTTAATTTGTGGATGCTCGAAATTCTTTGCTGTGGTTTGTGAAATGCTATATAGAGTAAAAACCGTGGAAACCCAAAAGCAGAAGGAAAATCTGCAGTTAACTAGGGACTAATGTACAGTACATTCTTTCAATAAATACCAGTCATGATGATAATAATAATGGTGTTTGTCTTTGTTTTCTCATTTTTACTACTATACATAAATTTGGAGTGAATTTCATTAATCACATTAACATTTCTGAGCATCGTTACAGTTTAATAGGTCCTGGGTTGGGTGGATTTGTGTGAATACATGTGCATACTTTTAGAAAATACTTTACTGAAATAGTTATTGCTCATGTTTTTATGAAGCAGAGCAAATTCAATTACATTTCATATTAACTGCCCCATGTTTCTCCCCTGCTTTGGGTGGCTGAAAGCACGAGCAGTGTAGGCTCTCATGTGCTGCCATTCAATCATTGTAACTGTTAATTTTTGTAAGAAATATGTCCTGCTGTGATGATTCCGTCCCACAACACAACCATCAATTCATAAAAATACTTTGGGGGTTGATCTATTTTTTCGTGTTCTCTTCTTTCAGATGGAGCTAAGACTGACAAGGAGATTCATGACCGTGATGTTAAGCTTCTTGAGGAGTGCCATGGTAAATATCACTTTATTATTACTTCTGTTGGCTGTAGCAGTAATGCTCAGTAGATCTCCCCATTGGTTATATTACTGTACAGTAATAACTGTGTTAGCCGGAATCCCTCAAACCCGAAACTCTCCGATAGCTGGGATTGAAATTTTCTCGGAAAATCATTCCCAAAGCCAGAATTTTCTGAAAAATTTCGGCTTTGGGAAAATTTTTCCGAGGGGTACATTTTACGGAAAATTCTGAGAAAATTTTCCCAGTACTGTACCCGGAAAATTTCAGGGATAGGGGATATTTCAGTGACCCGGAAAATTCAGAGCAATGCATGTGGTGGAGGGTGCGGGAGGGAGTTTTGAGAATTGCAATTAAATGCCAGGTAGCGACGTGTCCTAATATTACATATTAAGTAATTATTAGATATTTTAATTGCCTGTATGTTGGCCTGGCGAGTTATTACTAGGCAATAACATACCTAGGTATAAAGCTAGATGTCGCATTCTGGACTATATCACAAAAACTGTTTTTTAGAAAAAAAAACATTTTTTTTTCCCGGCTTTGAGAGAGTCGTCTCGTTACCCGGAAATCTCTCATTCCCGGAAGTACTCTGCACCAATTGTTCCGGCTAATGGAGATATCACTGTATTTAAGTTTCTATTTAAAGTATAGTACTTATTCATAAGTATGAATGTCTTAATTGTGCCTGCCTGGCACTGGAATAACAGGATGGCTAGAATTAAGAGCAGCACACACTACTATTATTTGCTATTACTCTGCATACATTCTCTCTAAATACTGTACAGTAGTAGTTGTGTTTAGCTGTTAGCTGTGTTGTTACACAATCCAGCAACTTAAAATAGTCTTAATGAAGAACACTAATATGACACAATGTGTTATTTACTTAGACTCTAGCAAAGCATTTGACAGAGTACCGCATCAGAGGCTTCTGAGAAAAATTAAGGCTCATGGTATCGAGGGGAAAGTTTTAAATTGGATAAAATCATGGCTCACCGATAGAACGCAGAGGGTCAGCGTAGGTGGTGTTAAATCTGAGTGGGGTCGTGTAACCAGTGGGGTTCCCCACGGGTCAGTACTAGGCCCACTCTCGTTCATAATCTACATAAACGATCTAGATACTGGGATCAGCAGTGACATAAGCAAGTTTGCGGATGACATCAAAATAGGGCGGCAGATTAATTCAGGGCAGGATGCAAATGCATTACAGGAGGATCTAAATAAACTGCAGGGGTGGTCTGAAAAATGGCAAATGAAATTCAGCATCAGCAAGTGCAGCGTACTTAATATTGGAAGAACAAATACTGTCAATGTATACAGCCTTAACAACATCAACCTAGAGAAGTCGACTTGTGAAAGAGACCTAGGGGTACTTGTAAGCCCGGACCTACGGCCTAAAAAGCAGTGCGTTAATGTTCGAAATAAGGCAAACAGAGTATTGGGTTTTATATCTAGAAGTGTAAGTAATAAGAGTGCAGAGGTGTTATTGCAACTATATCTTGCGCTAGTCAGGCCGCACCTCGATTATGCGGTTCAGTTCTGGTGCCTTTATTATAGAATGGATATCAATTCACTAGAGTCGGTGCAGCGAAGAATGACGAAAATGATTCCGGGACTTAGAAACCTTCCATATCAGGATAGGTTAAAGAAACCAAACTTGCATTCCCTAGAAAGACGAAGAGTGCGGGGAGATATGATAGAAGTACTGTATTTAAGTGGGTGAAAGGAATCAATAAAGGTGTTATAGATAAAGTTCTTATAACATCCGAGCAGGATAGGACTCGGAACAACGGATTTAAGTTGGATAAGTTTCGGTTTAGGAGGGAGATAGAAAGGAACTGGTTTACAAATAGGGTGGTGGACGAGTGGAACAAGCTTAGCAACTTTGTAGTAAGTGCTGGAATGCTGGAAAGTTTCAAAAGGAGGCTGGATAGATTCATGGATGATAGAGAGTGGTAGTAACTCGACAGGAGCTGCCATGCACAGGCCAACCGGCCTATTGTAGACTCCTTATGTTCTTATGTATGTACTATGTAATCATTCCAAGAGTAGAATGAGGTTCTTAATGCAGTTCAGACAAACTTAACCTTCTTTATGGTTATGCCCGTGATGTCACAGGCTACTGATGTCCCCATTTCCACATTATGCCTGTAAATAAACAGAATGATTCTGCAGAATGCAAGAGAATACAATATCTGTAGTCATATTTAAGCCTCTGACATTTTTTCAAACTGCAGGCAGAGTACTGGAAACGTCAGTGACCCTATTTTTGTAGCGATGTCAAGGTTATGGTCACTCCAGACTCTGACTATTCGCTAGATTTTATTTAGGCTTCTTAATTGTAGTGGTTCAGACCCTGATGAACCTACACATAGTGGGAGTGATGAGGTGTCTCATCCTGATGATCCAAAGTATGAGGAAAGCTCTAGTGAGGAGGATGAAGACATAATTAGAGCGAGTGAAACTTTACGTGGCAGAAGACATATGTCATGGTTCACACGCAACCACCCCTGCTGGCTCTCAATTTTTCTCATGCTGATAGGACTGTAACACCACATGGAAGGAGGTGCAAAAGTGAGGACAGGGAAGCTGAAGGTGGGAGAGGGAGGCCACAGTCACCCGCCACCCATGTGAGGCCTCCCTATGCCTACCTACAGCCACTTCCTCAGTCTCTTCCGCCCACCCAAGGAAAGAAATATGCCTAGAAAGAATGTCATGTTTGTGTATACAGTCAGTTACAGGAAAAAAAGTGCCCTGATACTCGACATCAGTGTAGGGGTTGTGGCGTTGCCTTGTGCTAAGACCCATTGCTTTGCCAAAAACTGTGCCACCAGTTGCAGAAGTCTTAAAATGCACTGAACATGTTGTACATACAGGTGTAAATATTCATAAAGGTGTATAATTACTTATATTATAAGGAAAGCTAATTTAGTAAACCTTCGATAACTCGGATTACTGTATATGGGGCTATAACCATCCCGAGTTATTGGGGCACTTTCCCCCCCGGTCTTTTGCCTCCTTCTTCTCTTTCAAGTTTGTATAATAACCCCTTGCCTCCCACCCTAGTATCTCTGAGGGTTGAATTGCACTTTGCGCAAATACTGTATTAGTGAAAATCAGGAAAATAAGTAGAGCGACTAGGGGTGGCACACTAGAAGGTAAATTAGGCAAATAAATTATTGGGTCTTATAAGAAGGTCGTTTAGATATATAGACAGTCCGTCCCTCGTAACGATCTTCAAGAGTGAAGTGCTTCCCCATCTGGAGTACTGTCACCCCGTCTGGTTGCCGAAATATACTAGGGACTGTCAGTTGGTTTAAAATGTTCAAAGGAGGGCCACCAGACTGGTACCTGCAGTTCGGCACCTCAACTACTGTACAGTGAGAGATTGGAGCGCCTGAACTTGCCTAGCTTGTACTACAGACGAGCAAGGGGCGACCTAATTGAGGTGTAGAAGCATCTCAAGGGGCACTACTTAGTTGAGTGTCCTTACTTGGAGCTGGCGGACGCTTGCCCTATAAGGGGTCACAGCTCAAGATTGAAGAAGCCACAGATCCAGAAAACTGTGAGGGCAAACTTTTTCGGAGTGAGAGTTGTGAACTCTTGGAACAATCTACGTACCAGAAAGTGTTGACGGCACCGAGTGTGAGTTCTTTCAAGACCAGACTTGACCAACACTGGCGCAGGTTCAGGTACATTCAGGAGCTGGTGCCTGCCCAGTACTTGCCAACAGTGTGTAACAGAGACGTGACCGATTGCCCAAGCGGCTAACGAGCCAATCAGTAGTGAAGAGGATAAAAGAAAGAAAAAGGAAACAATGCCGAGTAATTTTGGGGTGAAAAATATGAAGAAATATGTTTTGTGTTTTTTCTTGGCTAGGACAGTCTGATCTTGGGCTTTTGTTTAGTGACAGTTCGCTTGGATCCTATAAATAAATTGGGAAGTGGCTCCGTACTACAGAACCAAACAATGGGAATCTTAAAATGAGTTGGGTCGTGTCTACATCAGACTTGTACTCTGTATAGCAACTAATACTGGTACATACTGTACTAGGTATTATAGTGCATGGGAGTTTGTCATACAGAAAAAATTCCAATGTTAATTAAAGAGTAATAAGGGTGACTGGGAATTTATTGTAACTACATTATTAATTGACTTGATAATTTCATTTCCATCATTGATCATTTTCATCATCAGTAACAGTGATGGTTGGTGGGCTCGGTGTCTCATTTTTTTCACCATAGTTATTGGGGCTTGGTGCACCTCCCTTCTCCAATCCCTGGTTTAGTAGTTTAAGGTTGATATTCAGTAACCAAAAACAAGAGAGCAGAAAACAACTCTTAGTTTTGACCACCAAGCATTATACAGGCATATTTAGCAGGAAAAAGCATTGAAATTTGAAAAAAAAAAGAACATTATAATCCAAACAAGTTCATTCTATTGTACATGGTTTATACTTGGTCCTGCAATACCCACATTTATTGAGTCCAGAAATATGGTGGATACCAGGGATGGAATGAAAATCTTAAATAGAAAGATGAATATTTTTAGATTTAGTACAAGAGCACAAAATAGAAAACTTAAATATTCATACCTCACAACAATTCAAAATGCACTTCACATAGAACTGTTGCATTATGAACATCTGTTACACATGTTTATATTGAAGCACTGTACAGTACTACACTGCCATTCATTGAAATGGCTGATGCAGCTAAAAAGTGTGAGTGAGGAAGTGGAAAGGAATAAACATGAGGTGAAATACTAGTGCATACAGTACAGTATAACCCCCTTTAATGTAAGAGTTATCCTTGCCCAATATACAGAACTTCAAATATGTTAAGTAAAACTATTTTAAACTGTATAGTGTATGCCAATCTATGAATCTCATGTACAGATATAGTTTTGAAATTTTTAGATCAGCTGATATAGGACCAGTGCAGGCTGTGCAGATTAGCAGTGCCCGGCAACCTGGTCGTGGCCAGACTATAGGTAGGAAAAGTGATTTTTCATGTCCACGTGCCTGGTGGACAAGTTTATATTCTGAGAGGAAAATACCCAGATGGGAATATGTCCGATGTTATGTGAACCAACCTCCCCATACAGTACATGTTTAACCAGTGAGGTCCATCAACCAGCAAGGTGAGGGGGAGGGGGAAATTGTGTGTGTGTGCACTTGAGCTGATGCCATATCTATTCTCTAAATGACTTGACCTGAAAATCTGCACCCAATTGATTGTTGCATAAGCATAGTTGTGTTATAAATTGAAGTGAAAATATTAACATGAATAAGAAGCAAGGAAATTTGACTGGGTTCTTCAAACACCACTGGTTGGAGAATGGTGAGGGCAAAAGGTGTTTAGTTTGACACAAGTAATCTGTGAGCTGATACACATAATGTTTTAAAATGTTTATTTAACTTTTCCTGTAAAATGGGAGGGGGGGGGGGATAAATTTCCTCCCAAATTCATTAGGGCAAGTAAAAATAAGTATCCAGGCAAGTAAATATTAAAAGTCATTTGCCTGGGACAAGTAAATGTTTTTCACATACTGTAATCTGCAGAGCCTGGATTGTGTGTACTGTATGTGTACTCATTTACATTTTTGCAGAAACTGGCATGCATTTTCATGAAACTTGACAATGGTTTTGGTCTTAAGATTTTTCTTCATGTCCATTTTAAAACTGTTTTGGAAAGTTTGTTATATTTAAATGATTATCTTATATGATACAATATGAAAATATTGCACAGTATTTTATGTTATTCATAGTTAAGTTTTCTTAATGTGTCTTTTTCCCTTCAGCCATTGTTGCTGAAGTAACCCAACCATCACTGGGAGTTGGTTATGAAATAGGTCGTGGTGTGGCCATGGGCAAAAGGATTCTCTGCTTGTATCGACCTCAACCGAACAAAAGTATGTACTGTACTGTATTGCTAAGTGTAGGTAATTTATTTTCTAGTTTTGAATATTATTTAAGGAATTGTAATACAGTACAGTATTGTATTACAACATTGCTCATTGAATTATACCCACACACTCATACCTTGAAATACATGACACACATATACGTAATGTATACATATTCTTATAGATAACACTCATTTGCATATATACACGATACACACACATAGATACATAGTTACACACAGTAGACCCTCGCCAACCTCAGATTTTCCATCCACAGATTCCATGTATCTAAAGTTTTCACTCTACCATTTCACCAACCATGGCATCAAGTTTTATGTATCCACGGATTAGCGCAGTCTCTCTATCCCTCCGTACAACGTCCCATCTCCCGCTGCTTGCCACTATTCTCCACACTCTTTGTTGTGATTTGGTATCATGCAGACGTACCATACTGCTCCGTATTCTTTCACTTATTTTTTCATGTTTTAAAATTTATTTTGCCTTTAACTATGGCTCCTAAGCCTTCGTGTGTGCTATTGATAAACATAGTACAGGTTGTACCTCTCTAGTCCGGCATTCTGTGGTCCGGAAACTCCCGTGGTCCGGAACGATTTTAGTTTGTCCAATAGGTAGATAGGCAGCTTTTTTTTTTTTTTTCTTTTTTTTATCTCTGAATTATTATTATTATTACAGGAGTATTAAATTTTTGCCCCTCAGGCCCCAATGTGGGTCAGTGACCTATGCCCGGGTGGGCTAATCCCCTTAAAAAAAAAAAAAAGCCGCGGGAAATTAAGGTTTGTTTACATCCGGCAGTTCGGCTGCACTCTCTCTCTCTGCTTGTCTATACAGAGTACAACATTTAACCCTTCAATATATATGAGCAGTAAATAAGTGTTGCTTTCATATTCTTATGTAGAGTAATGACGATATATTTTCACATGTGCGCACTTACATACGAGCAGTCTCACTTTTTTTTTTACCATTAATGGTTAGCTACTTATATTGTTCCATTTATTAACATTAAATAACATTACAGGTACTTCAAGCAACCATATTCATTTTTTACATTAATTTTACTACAGCTAAACTCAGGGTCTTATTTTCTTCAGTTTTATATGTAGAACCAATCAGTCACTGGTTTCGTAAGCTTTAACATAAACAATGCCGGCAGCGGTCTCGTCTCCTCTAATATTCCACGTATTATTAATAAATTGTATTGTTAATTTTGCACACACGTACATTAATTCAATAAAAACAAATTCAGAAACATTAATTAAAATATATATGAACAGTAAATAAGTGTTGCTTTCATATTCTTATGTAAAGTAATGACGATATGTTTTCACGTGTGCGCATGCGCACTTACATATGCGATCTCTCTTTTTCTTTACCATTATCGTTAGCTACTTCTATTGTTCCATTTATTAACATTAAATAACATTACTTAAAACAACCATATTAATTTTACTACAGCTACAACCAAGGTCTTATTTTCTTCAGTTTTATATGTAGAACCAGTCAGTCACTGGTTTTGTAATCAACGAAAACAATGCTGTGTCATTTCCTCATGTGTTTTAATTTTCTACGTTTATTAATGAATTGTATTGCTCATTTTGCACACATAAACATTAATTCAATAAAAAAGACATTCAGTAATAAACAATAATGAATCTTTTGTACATAAGAGAAATGACGCTGTTTACACGATTATGCACGTCGTCTGCACGTTGGCGGGCCGTTCAAACCCGTCGAAATTCAAGTTTCCGCCGTCAAAATTTTTATTTATTTATTTTTTGTGTGTTCCAATAAAATACGTTAAGAATTAAAAACTCGCGAAATTTGAGAAGCTACTATACGACATTTAACCCTTCAATATGTCTTCAAAGAGACCATGACGCAGAGAAAGTGGTGCTAGTGCTTCCAGGCATAAGCACAAGTCACTATCTATCCAGGAAAAGGGTGAATTTCCATGGTCCGGCAATTTCCATGGTCCGGCACCGGTCAGGTCCCGAGGTTGCCGACTAGAGAGGTACAACCTAATGCGTCACATACTGTACTTATAAAGATATACAGTACATGCATACCTATAAAGAATCCAAGTACATACACTACTGCATGCTTATATAGTGCTGTACATATCTACATGCATATACATACAGTGTTACCTCTATACCAAAAGTTCCTCAGATTCCAGTATTACCTCTCACTGAGTGAATTCATATAAACCGAATCCTCAAATATCCAGATATAAAACAGGGAGTCCTTACTGTTCATCAGGTATGCATTCATGATGACCATGACTACAGTAATTACAAAGGACAAATAACAAGGGCGATTGACCCATTAACTGACATGATATATACAGGTACAGTACATGGAAGATATGTTATGTGTAGCAATTGTAATGGAAATTATGTAGGTCAGACTGGGAAAGCATTACAACTTAAAATAAAACAGCACAAGTATAATATTAGAACAGCATCTGAAAGCAGTGCACTTTTTGTTCATAATAGGAACAATAATCATCCCATGGATTGGGAAAACAGTATAGAAGTGTTTGAAATAACATGTGTCACAGCAAGACTTCTGGTTGAAGCAAGTCTGATTAGGAAATTGATTATATAAACCTTAATGATGGTCAGTACAAAACTGATAATATATTACATAAATTTATTTGGGGCCCAAGGTTAAAAATGCTTTGAAAACCTTTGAGGTAGATGTAGGTTTGATGATTAGCGGTCTCATGTTTTGACATGACTTGTTCCGTTGCCCATTTTTATAAAGTCTTTCGGTAAGGTGGAGGTGGTGTGTGGATTAGTGGATCCCATGTTATTGACCTGACCTGATGTTATGTAAGGTCTCCTTTTTGTATATAAGCTTCTCTCGTCCTGTAAATTCAGTTGCCTCTGAAGATGTCTTGATAAGGATGAAAGCTAAGGTGCTCAGTGTTTCCCTTTCCTGTGTGGTTTTATTGAGATTGTCCTATAAGTCGGTATGCACATCAGGTATGTGGTTTGACATAACCTGATAACTGCAGTAGAGTGATTGCAAAAAAAAAAAAAAAGTATATCAGTTTTCCCCAAACGTCATTTTAAAACTCCTAGATTAAAAGATAGTATGTAGAAGAATATAAAACCAAATATGAGTCCATTACTTATCTTGGTTTGGCCATGGTGAATTTATGCAGTCAGTGGGTTTGGGGCTGGCACGGTAGGGGCGCTTCTTGACTCCATCGTGATCAAGATATGACTGCATCATCAGTGGTACTCAGTGGGACAAGTGGGGAGTGTAAACATCCCATACTTGACCCCGGAGATATGAAATTTTTGCATACTGCATTCAAAACGGAATTCCAGAATGTATGTCCACTCCTTCAGCTATCATTTGAGAATATATCGTATTTTTATGGCATTTAAGATGCTTTTTTAATGGCTAAAAAATCATCCTGCTTCCTATATGTGAAGTTGAGGTCTCCCATAAGCTAATGAATCCCACAGTTGCTGTCTCCAGTAGACTAAATTCTACCTAACCCAACTCCAGAATTAAAAATATGTTATTGCTTGCTTAAACATTATTATTATTTTTAAAATAATTAAAAGGAATTATTGTAAATTTAAAAGCTCGATTTATAACTACAGTACTGATGATGATAACCTGAGACGATTAACGTCCGTACGGCAGACACCCAACTATTTAGCGGTAGCTAAGCTGTAACCATTTCTGAACTCTTACAAGCATTACAATCTGTTAATTCCATACCTGCAACATTTATTTATCATTCTACAAATACCTGATATAATACTTTTAAGTACAGTGGTCCCTCGGTTAACGAACGCCTCGGTTAACGAATTACCTTCCATAAGAATCTTCATTTCGGTTAACGAACAAAAATTCGGTTAACGAAATTCTTACGAAAACATGTCAACATGTTTTGGCTTGCTCACCAGCTGGAAGATTAGTCCGCCAATACAGTAATCGGTTCTAGGGCTTATATTCGTTTCCATTGGAGTAAATATCAAGAAGGTTGTGTTATTCAATATTTTTCCAAATTCTATATTCAAATTATTAGTCATTTTAACACTTACTTAACATAATTGCAGTACAGGGAACTAGTTTTTGGTGCGCCCATCAGCCACTTCACTCACCCACCAAGGCGTCAGTTTGTGTCTGTTCGGTGGAGGAAACATCTTGCTTGTGGGTCTCTTGAACGCAGAGTATTTTTACGTTTTTACACTACAATTATTGGTCATTCTGAATTTATTTAACATATTGACAATATATAGCACAGTGCAGTGTTGATTTAAATAAAATAATCTTGAATTAGACCTAGTGAACTTAAAATTTTATTGGTGAAATGACTGCATCAAGCATTGGTCTCCTAGAATGTGATTTTTCCTCCATCCCCACTTCCTTCTCTTCTCCCTTCTCCTCCACCCCCACTTCTAATTTCCATCATCATCATCATCAACCAGGAGCCTTCTACATACACACCTCAAAGTAAGTGTACTTTACTGCATTTATTTTTTTGCTTTGTATGTACTTTTCGGTGAGCTGGAACCAATTACCCAATATCCCATTGAAACAATGGATTTGGTTCACGAAATTTTCGGTTAACAAACGACCTTCTGGAACGAATTGTGCTTGTTAACTGAACCACTGTATCGTGTTAATGTGAGTGTCCATTATTTGTTGTTTGTAAGTAAGTGAGCATAAGTTATGAATCTTTGTGTGTGTTTAATAATAATAATAATAATAATTAACGGTTTATTGAGAAAGTTCTGCAGCTCGAAGGCTGAAAATATACATTGGACATAAATGACTTATTACATACGGTACAGTACGGTGTGGTGGTGGGACGTGTGTGTGGGAGGTCCGTGTTTTTTGTCGAAAAACAGGGTCTTTCCAGGAGTACCCATTCTGATTTCTAGGAAATCTGATTCGTGAGTGACTAGTGAGTGTCGTGACCATACAATATCTATCTGTGATCCCCCTAAGGAGATATATTT